ATGTGTGTGTGTGTGTGTGTGTGTGTGTGTGTGTGTGTGTGTGTGTGTGTGTGTGTGTGTGTGTGTGTGTGTGTGTGTGTACTGTGCGATTTTCCCCTCGTTGTGTTCTATTTTTGTCTATAGCTGAAGTTGAGCCTATAGATTTCTTTCAGATGAGTGGTGGGATCAATTGTGTTTAGCCACATCAAACCCATTATCTTTGTCTCTCCTCAGGCGTCTGTGAAAGAAATGGAAACCAGTTCCACACAGGGCAAACGTACAAAGAGAACTGCAATCTATGGTATGTAAATCTTTGTTGTAGCCACATAATTCCTGTTGGTTTAAGTAGCTTAAAAAAATGAACATTTTCTCCTCACCTTCTCACTTACTTGTTTTTGTGTGCTCTGGATGTGCTTGGGAAAATGTTTCTTATGTTATAAACATTCCATTTTTTAGAAGAATGCATCACAACAACATATTATACGCAACATTTTCCTTCACATTCTTTTCTAGCTCAGAGGAGCACGGCTCTCTTAAAGTGTGCAGGATTTACACAGACTGAAAGTCAAGTCTTTGTGCTGAAAAATATGGATTGGTTAAAAAAACCTCTAGTGGTTTTCATTGAGTAATAACTTTCTATATCCAAGTTTTGAGTGAAAACATTTCTTTCAGAACGCATCTAATTATTTCATTTCCTCATAAGTGAAATAGAAGACTGATTATAAAAGGTTATGAACGTTCTGAAATTCGAGTTTTGTGTTTCGCAGCTTCACAGTTATGCTGTCTCTTTGTCAGACTAGTTTGGCATGACTTAAATCTTTAGTAGGAAATACTTACACTTATACTAATATATATTAATATGTATGCCAATTTTAACTGAACATGACGGTTTGAGTGCTCAAACAACATTTTAAAGTTGACACTATAATGTCTGAGATGCTATTAAAGAATCATTTTAAGTAAAAAAAAAAAAAATGCAGCTAAGTGGCAGACTGAAAAACAACTTTTACTCAAAAACGCTAACTTTTCAAAGGCGTCATCTTCTTTTATAAAACCTTAAGGTGATAAATTTGTCCCTCAGGACTTAAAGAATGCTCCATCATGAAAAATCATCTGATCATTCAGTTGATAAAAGTCCTTACAGAGAGGCATTTTGCTAATGTCGTCCTCTTGGCTCACCTTGGTCTTTCAATATCCTAAAGTTCGGTCCAAGGTTGTGTCCACTGATCAGTTGCTTTTGTCTTTGTTGCCTGGTCAATCAGTCCAGTTAAAAATATCTCGACATCGACTGGATGAATTGGTTTAATAATGTATTGTTTTACATTATTAGTGTTTAGCGTATATGTTAGTGTACATCTTAGATCCTTATATACTGCTTCTTTTTATATAAAATATAATATATACCTGCCATTGTGTATCTGTTCTTCTCAAATCCAGCCACTCGATGCAGATGGCCACTTGTCCTGAGCCTGGTTCTGCTAGAGGTTTTTCCTTTCCTCTGTCGCCTTCTTGCTTGATGAGTTCTGCGATGAAGTTAAACTCAAAGCAGTCTGCTCCTCAGATAAATAGTGTTAAATTATTTATATATAAATGGATATTTCTGTGCAGTGCTCTTAGATGACTTCTGTTGTGACTTGGTGATATAAAAATAAATTGAATTGAATTTTATACGTCCCATTTTTGCTATTTTTGAGTGTAATTGGAACTTTGAGTACACAATTTCGTTCCACCTCATGTACCACACGTGATGCGAATGACAATAAAGAAACTTGAACTTGATATAAAATCATTCACAGGTATTAATTTCACTGTGTATATCCCTTTGTAATATAATATGTTACACTTTGAAGTTCTGTAATTAGTTGAAATTTAACACAATATTTAAGTTTATAACCATTTATCAGCAACGCTTCTGATTCCTGAAGCAGCACTTGGTGTAAGAAACTAAAATAGTGAGCACAACTTTGAGACATTTACGATCTCAGATCATTGATTGATACGCAATAAGAAAAATCCAAACATAAAGTTCAAGTTCATGTCAAGTTTATTGTCATTTGCATCACATGTGGTACATGAGGTGGAACTAAATTATGTACTCAGGGTCCTAGTTACACCCAAAATAGCAAAATATAAAGTGTAAAAAACAGTAAACAAGGATCTAAGATATATGCTAAACACCAGTAATTTAAAATGATACAGAAGCCCGAACATAAACAAAGAAACAAAAGATAACAAAAAGAAACAAATCAATCTTATGTGCACTCATCACATGGAAGAGTATCACAGTCTGCGTCTGTGGAAGAGAACATCAGTCAAATCAAACCTGATGGGAAATTGTCTCTAATTTTGTAGCCAAGTTGTGTTTGCAAACGTTGTTTTGGTTCCACTTTTAATCGACGTGGTAAATTGTCCAAGCATTCGAGCATTTGTCTTCTTTAGCACCCAAGTTTATTTTTGATGTAGAAAAAAAATACTTTTTAAATATTTTTTTTCCAAAGCACAAAAAAAAAAAATCAACCTTGTTTAAATTATACAAACTTGTTCTTTTCTGTTTTGGCTTCTTGAGTGAATTCCTGTGTGGATCTTTTTGATTGTGTCCATATTTCTTATTTCAGTTCATTGTTTCTGAAGGACATCGTCACGATTACCTCTTAACTTCATGACCCTGACATGGTCTTCAGAACTGTTTCTAAAGCAGTATTTTGGAATAACTCTGTTATCTGAGTGGCCTTCGACACCCACAGGGCAAAAACAATCCTTGTCATTTTTCAGCACGATATGGAAGATGGAGAAAGAAAGATACTTTGACTTTGTCTGGTGTTTCTGTGTCATGTCTCAGTATTTGGATGAACTTGCATTCACACTGATATGTTTTTGGCTCGGTGATATTTTGTTTGATTGTTATACACAAACGGTATCTTTAATGTTAACATATCTAAAAGAACCTCTGATCCTCACAGTGAAGATCTGCTGCGTCCTTCTAAAAAAAAAAAAAAAAAAAAAAAAGCACATTATCTCATCTACAGGAGCCCAGAAGTCCAAAACAGCTCTAAAAATCAAGCATGTCATAAAACACAACACCAAAACAAGAAGATGGATTTAAATCAGTAACAAGACGAGCATTATTTTTTAAAAGCCACGCATGCAACCCTAAGCAGGATTCATAAACATTTTATTTACCTGTTATTTATACAGGTAGCCTCATTGAGTCACGAGGACTCATTTTCAAGAGAGACCTGTTTGGGAGCAGATGGTGGGGGTTAAGAGCCTTGCTCAAGGGCCCAGAGTGGGGCAATGAGGGTGGAGGCATGGTGTTTTAAATTTTCGACCCACGTTTTGATGTTTGTCGGTTCAGGGAGTCGAACCAGCGACTTTCCGATCACAGGCCCACCTTCTCTAACCTCTGCGCCACCACTCCCAATATTTTTGGCATCGTAAAAAACTGTTTGTCCAGGTCATCAGAGAGCAGAATTTACCTGCAGTAAAAACAAAAACAAAACATCTCCAATGCTCACACAGCCTGACACGTGTTGCTCAGTCTTCCCACGTGGCCTTTTGAAAATTTGCACCACAACTTTGGCCCAAATGGACACTTAAAACTCCCCTTTCCTACTCCCACTCTCTCTATTTAATGATTTGCCAAATGTGTTTCCCACCTCTGCAAGGAGGAAAGCAGTGCTTCCGCGCGCTGACAGCCGTCTCCCTCCAAAGTATCTAATTAAGCAGCATTTGAACCCCTGATTTTGTTCCTCCTGTTTGTTGCAGAAATAGGACAGCTGTCAAATAAATATCAAGATTACGCCACAGTTTTGTACTTTACTGTACTTTATCTCACTCCACAAGAAAAGATTAAAAGTTGTGGTGCATTTTTCTGCCATTTCCAGCTGGGACATGTCCCCTCCTCTCTGATAACACTACCGGACCCTAATAAAATGAAACACATCTGCTTGTTCTGATGATCCAAACCCCCTGAAGGAGTCTGCTTTCTCTACTCATATGTCTGATTGAACAACAGCCGAAGCAAATTAAGGTTTAAGTGGTGCCGATACCGAAACACACCAAAGTGAAGTCAGGGTGACGAGCCATCCAGCTGTGTGTTTGTCCTCTCAGAAGGTGCTTGTCTGGAACAGGGAGGCTGTTTTGGAATGTTAAATATGTCCACTGTCCTTGTAGATGTAATTTTCACTTTTCCTCATCTCTGCTGCTGAGCTCAGCTCTGTGCTCAGGACTGTTACTGTGAGTGTGTTTAGGACCTGCAGGGTCTGTGCTGCAGCTGAAGGGAGATGGAGGCTAAAAGTCTCTCCTCTTATCAAAGTCTTCTAATGGTTTTAGTGGGAAACTGAACAAACTCTTGTTGGTAATGAATCTGCACATTTGAGTAGTAGAGTTTGGGTAAAGCTGTGCTTTTTGTTAAAGAGACTGGTGAAGCGTTTAATAAAATCCAACCGATAATCAGCTAAGAAACCTGAATTATAAACGTATTACATGTTAAAGTAGCACCAAGAGGAAAGTTTACTGCATGATATTGGATGAAGTTGTAGTCTGAAAATGAAAGATGATTTGTTTTGTGATTTTACTTTTGATGGTTGAAACAAAAGGTTTTAATTTTATTTTTTCACAGATAGTCTAACACACTGACACACGCCTCCAGATTTACTTTTCAGAAAGTAAATTACTTCTGAACAAAAGATGTGTACATTGCTACAGTTAAACAACCTTTCTGCTACTTTCTTATTTCCATCCCTCTTTTGATTCTTTTTCTTCTTTCTGCTTTTCCCTCTTCAGTGTCACCACAGCGAGTCATCCTCCTCCATCTCACTCTGTCCTCTCTCCAACTACCTCCATGTCCTCTCTAACTGCATCCAGAGATGTCCTCTTTGTCTTTTTCTTGGCAGCTGCATTTCTAACATCTTTCTACCAGTATACCCACTGTCCCTCCTCTGGGCATGTCCAAACCATCTCAGTCTGGCCTCCTGAACTTTATCTCCCAGTTGTTCAACCTGTGCTGTACCTCTGATGATCTCATTCCTAATCTTATCCGTCCTTGTCACTAAGGAGAACCTCAACATCTTCATTTTTGCCACTTCCAGTTCTTTCTCCTGTTTTTTGTCCATGTCTCTGTCTCCAGACCATACAACATATCTGGTCTCACCACTGTCTCGTAAACTTTTCCTTTGACATTTGCTGACAATCTTTTGTCACAAATCACTCCTGAAACTTTTCTCCATCCTCTCCATTCCTGGACTTTCTTCTTCACCTCTTCCCCACAATCCCCATTTTCCTGGACAGTGGACCCCAAGTACTTGAAGTCCTGCACCTTTGTGACCTCTGCTCCTTGTAGCCTCACTGTTCCACCAGCCTCCCTCTCATTCCCACACATGTACTCTGTCTTACTACGGCTGACTTTCATTCCTCTTCTTTCAAGAGCATACCTCCACCTCTCCAAGTTCTCTTTCACCTGTTCCCTGTTCTCACCACAGATCACAATGTTGTCTGCAAACGTCATAGTGCATGAAGATTTTTGCTGGTTTCATTCCTCTCTTGATTATTTTTTTATTAGAAAAAATCTACTCAGCCTCTGCTCTTACTGGAGTTTTATATTTTAGCTGCTGATATTATGGGCTTCAGCATCAGTACAGTTATTTAGAGGATTTTTGTTCCTGCTTTTATAATATTTTTAACCAATACTTTGTTTTTTTCTTCCTGTAGTACATGTGGGTCTTTGGGTCGCTGGGAGTGTGAGCAGAACGCTTGTCTCATTGAGCCTGACATTGTTCATGCTGTCAACAGAGGCAACTATGGGTAGGAAACAAAGCAGTCATTCCCTTTTTTTTAAGAGATATATAGATATATTTTCAAGTTTTCAATTTTTTTAAAATCTCATTATTTCTGCTTTCAGGTGGAAAGCAGCCAACTACAGTCAGTTCTATGGCATGACTTTGGATGAAGGAATTCGCTACCGTCTGGGCACACAGAAACCTTCCACCATCATCATGAACATGAACGAGATTCAGGTACAGATAATGTATCACTGCACTTATTGGCAGATGCAGCCTCTAAATATTTGAGCTTTATCCTAGAAAACTTTATCTCACGCAAATCTCTCCAAAACCACCCGTTTCTGCTTGTTTTAAGTGCAGTCATGTGATTCGTACACCTCTGAACATAAAATGATGAGTAACAGGGTTATGATTAACTCCTCTGAGAACTAAAACATTCAGCTTGAAAGAGAAACTGCTGCCCATATTTGGAAATGTTGCTCCTCTGTTCATTTATCAGCTCTATTTATGTCTCTTTTCTCATCTTTGTTGCCATTTTTTTGTCCTTTTCTGGTTTTGTCTCATTTAGTGGACTCAGTCATTATTATTAGTCTTCTTTATGACAGCCTGATGTCAATTTGTGTTTTTTTCTTCTCCATTGGGATTGAAATGGATGTTTAAAGAAGGCATGCTGCAGAGTTTTTGACCATGTGATGGACAAGACTGAACTGTCTGTTTATGAATATTGTTCGTGGGTGCTGAGCTATAGAGTCATGTTGTGCTGAACACCATCAGTTTATAAAACAACACATGATTGACATAATAAAATGAGGTTTTGTGGAACAGTTATGAACAATTAATATCTTACCTGCTGTAGATTTTGTTTTGAATTACCTCAGTTTGGAGATTTTGTATTTACCGTATTTTCCGGACTGTAAGTCGTTTCTTTTTTTATAGTTTGGCCAGTCCTGAGACGTATAGTCCAAAGCGACTTATATACTTCACCCCTATTTGTAATACAATATTTGACTGACACGTTAAATGTTCGTTCATACTGAACATGTCTGTCTGGCTCCTGCCGGGTGCATTACGGCGGTGCGCCGTGACCGGCTCTGAATCGGTTTGGAAGAGTCCAGGTACAAAGGTGGCTATACAGCGTTCCCCCACCTGCACCTCGCCGCCTCCCGGGGCCGTGGACCACAAGGCTGCCGACTGGGACAGACTGTTCTTAGTGCAACGCGACTGCGCCGCACCGCCCAGGCAAAATGAAACTGTTTTGACCATTTGGAAAAGTTAAACTGAGACACACCTTTGCTATAATGTCGAGCAAACAAATAATTGTTTTTAGTGGTTAATCTTGTTAAATTTGGACGAACTGCAACAGCGAGTCGTCCCATGCACGCTACTGCGGCCGCCAATCGAATTTTGGCAGCCAATCGATTATTGGCACAACACCAGCCCACGTTTCCTGGGGGTCAGCTTTGATGTATAATAAATGCGACTTATAATACGAAGCAACATATGTTTTTTCCTCTTCATGAGGCATTTTTTGACTGATGTGACCTTTACTCCGGAGCGACATATAGTGTGGAAAATACGGTAATTCCGACTATATTTGGTCAGAATTTAAACAAATTTCTCCAAACAGAGACTTTTTTTTAAAGTGGTTAAACAAAACCTGATTTATTCATTTAACATACAGTTTATGATGATGTGTGTGGAAGAAAAACTGGTAATGTGGATATAATGTAAAAGGCAAACAGGATATTTTGGCGACGGGAATGATTGTAAAGCTGAGTTGTGACGTTTCATGTTTTTCCAAGCTCCTGCATTCTTCCTGTGAAGTTTTGATGAGTGATATTTCAGTTTATCACAAGTGAGCGCTGATTAAACAATTCTGGCTAATGATGGGGGCTTGTTGCGATAGCAGCTTCGTCTGGAACCCTCAGACCCGTTTGGTCGTGTCTATCATTATTTATATTTGGCCCAGACAGATTGCATAAGACAGAACCAAAACATTAGAAAAAAAAAAGAGGAGGGGATGGTGGCTGTCTGGAGGATAAAGAACAACCTCCTTTTCTTTCCACACCTCTCCTCCAACCAAATCCATCCTTCCTGCCCAAACCTACTCTTGATTTTATTGTCCACATGTCCCAACATGCTCTTCTAACATGATCACAGTTCATTCAGAACCACCGTTCATCACTTTCTGTCTGTTTGACTCCTGTTGGAAATAAGTGATGTCATTATATTTTTGGAGACTGTTCACACACATAAGCCATCATATTCTTCCAGAACATTTGACTCTCTGGTCTGACCAGGAGCATTGTGGACTTTGGTCTTCCACAAGCTTCAGTACATTCCTCAGTTATGCATCAGGTAACTTTCTGATACATCATTAATCATTGGAATGCAGCACAGATAGCCAAAGTCTTCGAGGGGAAAGGGGAAGTCGGTGGTTCAGAAGTGTATGCCCTTTTATCTTATCAAATGAATCCTAATCTGCCTGGAAAATGCGTTCAGATTAACTGTGATGTAACCGATCAACCAAATGTGTAAGATTTTGTTTGATTTTTTAGTTACAGGGTCTTACTGATATATCCCATGGTGTATTTAATTCTTAATGTTGATGGTATATATAACATTTTAAAGTACTGTACTGTTAGAACTTGAGTTCTAGAATTGCACCGTTCCGGGTGGCTGCATGTTGGAGCAGCTCTGTTACTTTCATTCTGAGATTTTGCTTTTGGAAACTTTAATTCCTCTTTTTCTGGATGTAAATAACATTTTCTTTGATGATTGTTTCTTCTGGTATCGGATGTCGTGCAGCTGGAAGGATTTTTACTAAAACTTTTTAGTTTTGGACATTTGTTATGATGCATAACCATAACAGGGTGTTTTTTTTTACAGCTGATTAACATCGCAAAAGTTCAAATAATATCAGCTACAACCCTAAATTTCAAATGAGTTGAAAAGGAGGTGCCGTGGATGCATTCCCGGCTCCCTGCCGACTGTGGTCAAGTGCCTGACCACTGAGATTCTGGAAATGGCAGGAAATGCGGTTCGTGACAGCAGAAGGGCCGGGATCGTCCCCCGGCACCTGCAGCTGGCTGTCTGCAGTGACAAGGAGCTCGGCAGGCTGCTGGGAGGAGTGACCATCACTCTGGGAGGAGTTCTGCCCAGCATTTGGGTGGTCTTGCTGCCTGGGGAAACCGAGAGGCCAGACGAATTTGGTTGCGGCCAATTTCTTCAGATCCACTATGGGACAGACCGTTACAAGAGATTCTTCCTGCCTACAGCCATCAGCATCTACAACATCTCTTAATGAAACGAAAATAACGAGTTACAACATCATTTAAGTTCCCTTTAGGATTTATAAAGTATTTTTGAATTTGAATTAGAATTTATTAAAAAGTTAATCACCTTGGTGATAAATGCAACAAAGCAGGTAATCAAAAGCTAAAAAGTTAAAAATGAAAGTTTTTAAAGCAGGTTCAGTAACTTGAATTCTATGAACCTTGAAGATTAACGAGGACCCAGTAAACACCCAGAAATCGACTGCAGAACATCAGTGGAGGAATGAATGAAACACGTTTGATCTTTGCCTCATTTGTCTTTCACAGATGAACATGGATCCTCAGAATGACCACCTGCCGCTCTACTTTAACTCGGCAGAGAAGTGGCCGGGGAAGATCCATGAACCGCTGGATCAGGGCAACTGTGCTGCGTCTTGGGCCTTTTCAACTGCAGGTGAGTCCTTAAACAGAACTTACTGTAAAGGGAACACAGTAAATATTGTTTAAGGCATCAAATATAATGAAAGAAAACTACAGTCAGACACTGAATTATTTTTAGTTCTGTTTAATGTTACTCTTTGTTGTGTTCATTAGCTGTAGCATCAGACAGAATCTCCATCCAGTCAATGGGTCATATGACTCCTCAGCTGTCTCCCCAAAATCTTATCTCCTGTGACACGCGCAACCAGGGAGGTTGTGCTGGAGGGCGCATTGATGGAGCCTGGTGGTATTTGCGGCGGCGGGGGTAGGCGCTTCCTTCACCACACTTAACACGAACATTACTGCATATTTTTATCTACATTCAAATCTTTTTCCTTTCTCTGGCAGAGTTGTGACGGAGGACTGTTACCCATACGCACCTCCGCAGCAGACACCTGTAGAGGTGGCTCGCTGTATGATGCAGAGCCGTTCAGTTGGACGAGGGAAAAGGCAGGCCACGCAGCGCTGCCCCAACACACACACCTACCAAAATGACATCTACCAGTCCACTCCACCTTACAGGCTCTCATCCAACGTAAGCACTGCCCAAACACCAACACACCAAAAAAAAAGCCTTGCACAAAAGGAAACTAGCTTTTCTGGAAGGTGTCTAAAGTCTTTGTTGCCTTGCAGATCAATTTTTTAAACAAATCACGCATTTAATCTGTCTGTACTTGAAATATGTGTTGATGATGACTCGCTGCAGTAGACGTACAGAGTTTTAGCTCAACGTCTGTAAAATGGACCGACTGTAGCCAGTTTTCCAAGGTTGATCAGCTGTGGTAGCCATCTTGATTCAGGATGACTCCAGCAGTTAGGCGTACATAAAATTACTATTTTACTAGAGTTTTATTCAATCTGCCAAGTGGTTCATGAGCTCCTTTGCTAACAGACAGATGGGACTGACTCACTATTATCAAGGCTTTGAACAAAGATCTGTCTGGGCTCGGAGTTTGTGCTGGGAATGATTCTCAGCTACTGGCAAACTGGTGTGTTCAGTGGTTTTCAAATTAATTGAGTTATGGCTTGTACGCACAATTTTAGTAAATTGACTCACTTGTGAATGAGCACGAGAGCATGCAGGATTAATCTGAACATGAATCTGCATAGAAGAAAGAAATCTGTTCTTTATCCAGCTTTCAAGAAGTCCTATTGAGGCACAACAATAATCTAATATGATGATGATGTTGATGAGTTTATCATGTTAAACAGCATATGACTATATCGTCTTACATGATGTACTTTAGATATTATTGTCCATAATGTATAGCTGTTGTGTAAAGACTTGGAAATGTGTTTGGAATTAAATTTGTCTGTTTAACTTTTCATGAAATCACTAAAGTGTTCTGTGTAGTATAGATTTGTGCACAATCACAGTGAGTCACAATTCAGTAAATAAGAATTATTAAGCTGATGTTGGAAGAGGGACCATCATATCATTAAAATAGTAATTATTCCCTGTGTATCACAGTCGTATAGGGTTGGACCCAAATACAAGCAGACACGAAGGCTCAAATAAAATAAATAACTAATTTATAAAATAGATGAAAACAAAGGGCTGACATAGCAACTAATTATAAAACACAGTAGAGCAAAAAGAAGACCGAGACATCTGGCTGGTAGCCAAGATAATGAACAGCTGTAGGAGCGGCGATCAGAAATGGTTTAAATAGGACGGGGTGAGTGGAAAGTAGGGCTGAACGATTTTGGAAAATATTCAAATTGAGATTTTTTACATCAATATTGTGATTTAATATGCAATTATTTTTCAATGTCTTCTCATGTATTTTTCAAAGAACACGAGTAATAAATCTGTTTCAGTTGAAAAAAAACTCCACTGTTTTCAGCTCTGCTGCAACTCTGTCGCTGCATTTTTTAGCAACTTGGCTAAAATGTGTGCACGAGGGCATTCTGTACCACTTATCCATTGTGTTTACCAAAGCTGTAAACCCAGGCTTGATCACTATATTAATGGGCATCATGTCTTTTGCTATGAACTCCGTTATTGCTCGAGTTATTTCCGTGTGCCATTTCAAATTATGTTCATACGGAGTAATACCTTCGAACAGTTTGGTCAGTGATCCCTGTCAGCTGCTACTTTGCTTACTGTAAGTTGAAGCACTGGTCGTTGGCATTCTAGCCATGCAACCATCGTAAATGGCTTTGTGGTGTTTTTTTAAGTGTTGATAAAGATTTGTGGTGTTACCTCGAGAAGTAGCAACAGCAGCGAGGCAGGTTCTGCACAATACATGTCGTTGTGCAGCGTCTTCTTTCTTTATAGTCAGAATAATTTCAGTAAACAGTCGTGCTGCTCCTCTTTGGTACCAAACTTTCAGATGTGTCAGCTTCTGTTGAGCCTGACGCCATTGTACAACCGGTTAAAGCTCAGTGTTGACTTCTCCCGCTCCCTGCTCTGCTTTGCTCCGCTCACTCGCAAGTCATGTAACCAGATCACGTGACCAATCAAATTGCAGCCTTTGCGATCAGACAGTCTCGTTTCATCACATCTTAATATTATTGCAAATTTAGTTAATTGTTCAACCCTAATGGAAAGTGGTAGCATCTGGGTGATGACTAATTGGAAATGGGTGTAAGTGGTAACTGACTGAAGAACAACTGAGGTTGACTGAGGGTGAAAATGAGAACTGGCAGGAAGCTGAACTAAAACACAAGGGACAGAAAAATGCAACAGAAAATAAATAACCTAAAAACACAATGAAATAGAGGCCACAAAAATCAAAGAGTTGAGTTTCAGTAATTTTAGAGTTAAAATTTGGATGTATAGATAATAACCGGTAGCATTATTCTTCTATCTCACTTCATGTGTTCTTCTCATACAACAAATTGTGCGGTAACATTCAAATTGTCTTCAGCGGCTGTGTGCTGATCTGCAGCCAACATGTGGTTTTATCAGCCAGCATCTATCAACACTAAATGACAGCTAATTCCTTTCCAAATCATTACTGCTTCTAGTTTTCCCTCTTGATAGCCTGCAAAGTCAATAAGGAAGGCATTAAGACCAGCAGGCCCTGCTCAACTCAATCCTGTTATCTGACTTTTAACAGCCAGGGCCGTTTGTCTGTTTTACTGACCTGTAATGGTGTCCGTCTCGTTTTCCTTTACCTATAAATTGTTCTCCCTGACTCTCTTAGGAGAAGGAGATCATGAAGGAAATCATGGATAATGGCCCTGTGCAAGGTAAGACAATCCCTTGTTCTTTCCTTAAATTAATCCTTAAATAAGATTCTGATAACATTTCCTCCCAAAATAGTTTGACCTTCCTTTAAAAAGTCTGAATATGGCTGTATTCTAGTTAGAGTTAAATTAAACTAGAGAAAATGCCTTTCCTGTAAAAATGCAGTGTGAATGCTTATTGCCGAAAAACTTGCTGAAAAACTGCTGAAATTACAGGTAGCTAAAAACATTTTTGAAATGTAGCTGAAATGGAAGATCAGGCCTAATTTAACAGAATATTATAACAGAAAGAACACATATTTGTTGAATTAGGTTTAAATAAGCAGAAATTAGCCAACAATTAGGAAATTAGCTAAAAAAGGTAAAATTGGCAACAATAAAAAAAGCTGAAAAGTAGCTGAAAAAGAAAAAAGAAGTTTAAACTTCCAGAAGGAAGTGGAAATAGCTGAAATTAGCTAAAAATGTGGAATTAGCTGAAAAGCTAAATTAGCATAAAACAGCTAAATACTAGCTGAAAAAGATGAAACTTGCATAAATAAGCTGAAAGGAGCATAACAAGTTGAAATTAGCAGAAAGAAGTTAGAAGAGGCACAGAAATGTTTTAGTTAGCAGAAAGATCCTGAAAGGAGCACAAAACAGAAAAACAGCTGAAATTAACTGAAAGTAGCTGAAAAAAAATTTAAAATTTGCAGAATGAAGCTGAAAGAAGCTGAACCTGAACAAAAAGTGAAAGGAGCAGTTGTGAACAGATCTAAAGATGTGAAGGATGTAAAATGAGCTCAGTTCATTTTCTATGAGGAAAAATGGCAGAAAAGGCTAAATATTTCAAAAAGCTAAAGTTGCACCAATACCAAAAGTCATAACACCCTTCTCCTGAACGAGCTGAACATTTTGATATGTGAATTGTTAAAATAGCAAAAAAAAAAAATAGTGGAACGAGAAAGATGGCGAAAAACATCTGGAAGAAAAATGGATCACAATAGTATGAATGCTGCATGAACATTGACACAATAACACAAATCCTGAGATGCATCTGACCTGGTGATCTCACGTTTGACCCTCTGGATGGTTTTGTTCAATGTTTCATTTCTGACCCTGATTATTTGGTCACAAACGTTCTTTTTTTTATGCCAGTGGGGCTGACCTGACGTTCCTCTACTGTCTGCTGCTCATCTGGGTCAATAGAGAAGTCACGTGTACACGTGTGTGTGTGAGAGAGTATCTAAGAACCTGTGCCAACTTTCTGTATCATTGTTCAGCCGTCCAGAGCAGGAAGACTCAAAGTTTCCTTTTTTCACATCAGAGTTGCTCTTTGACACAAAGGCAAACAGGCATGGATGTGTGTGCCTTTGTGTTGTGTTTATGTACCTGCAGTCAAGGTTCACGCAATGTTCTTGGACAGGGAAAACAAAGATTTAGTGCAAGTTTGTCTTGATAAGGTTCAACAGAACAAGTGGGAAGCTGCTGGAAAAGTCCAGATGCACAAACACACACACACACACACACACACAAAGAACAGTCCTCTCTGATGTGTGGGTGTGTGCGACTCAGGGGAGCAATCACAGTTTTGTTGGTAAAATAGCCTAATTACTTCTAGATAAATCAGTGTTCAGATTAGATCTTATCGTTCCCGCTCACAATTGATCCAGGAAAGTGTGCTTCTGTGTGCGTTTGTGTGTAAGTGGTTTGAATCCGCCACGTCATTCTCCCCGCTTGTTTGTTCCTGCAGCTATAATGGACGTCCACGAGGACTTCTTTGTCTATAAGAGCGGGATCTACAAACACACTGATGTCAGCGTCGCCAAAGCGCCACATTATCGCAAACATGGCACGCACTCAGTCAGGATCATTGGGTAAGTTCCTGACACACAAACTGTCCTGTGGCTTTCGTCGCATCTTGGCTCGAAGTAGACGTTTGTCCAAATCTGATTAACCTCAACACAAACAGTCTTTATTTAATTTGACACTTTTCAGCGTGAAAGCTTGCTTGCTTTTCGTGTTATCGACAGGAAACTGAATTTTGTCTGGAGATAAACATTCCTCTTTTCTTTAGAGAACACTTTGTGTGTCTGTTTTCATGTTTTCAGCACTTGTTATGTAAGATGGATAAAAGCCTTTACTGAGTGGCTGCTGACATTGGGTTGGATTCAAATCTCCACCGGCTCATGTGTTTGCACAAAGCCAGAAGTGAACACGTGAATATAAGCCTCCCACCCAGACTTTAGAGACACACCTTGGCTCCACTCCCTGATCTGCACCAGACAGCGCTGCCCCCCCCTCCCCCAACCTAGTAACCTCCGACAGCCACAAATATGCAGGCAGGTAGACGACTGCCACACCTGGACTCACCCACCCACCCCCACCCCACGTCTTGTCCTCCCTTCTCTGTTGTGTCTCCATCATCTCTTCATGGCTGTCTGCTTCTCAGACGAACCAGCTTCCCGTCTGTTTCTTCTCTTCAAATCCAAGTCAAAATACAAATACATTCATTATTATTCAGACAGTCCCCCAACCAGACAGGTAGTTTGATGCTGCTGGTGCATGTGTCGCCTGGAGGGCACGAAGTAGCCAAGAGAGGTTCAAACTCTAGATATCATCATAATCCTTTTTACAAGTACAGAACTTTTTTTAATATGACTCATCGTACGGTATAATGGTTTTGAAAAGTGTTTCATAAGCAGCCAGCAAAGCGATGTGAATTTAGCATCATCACAAGAGAGCACAATTAATCCTCAGCTTTCGTTCATTCTTTGGTGAATGTTTTGTAACCCTTTTAAATATTATTTCATTTGAAAACATGACATCATCGCCTTCTTAAATTACATGGTTCCTAAAAATAGGTTGTTCTGAGCAGCATTCCCAAAGATTGTTATTTTAGATGTTTGCTTACCTTGCTCATGAGAAAAACCATACATTTTGGAGTACAGTGAACCCTCGTTTTTCACGGGGGTTACGTTCCAAAAAGAACCCGTGATAGGCGAAATCCGTGAATTAGTAACCTTTATGTTTTTTACAATTATTATACAACGAAATACTCCATAATACATTCAAACCAAAGAACAAAACCTTTTTACAGGCCCATGCATTTATTTAACAAATAAAAGTACTGTATAAACGTTTTTTTTACAATACTGTACTGGAGAGACTGTTTAGCCAATCAGAATGCAGAACACAATGCACGATGCAAATCCGTGAAGCAGCGAGACCGTGAAAGGTGAACCGCGTTACAGCGAGGGTTCACTGTATATCCAACAATTTTCATTCAGGTCATCTGGGCAGTTTTTTTTTTTTTTTGTGCTGAAATGTTTCACCTTCCATCCAGAAGGCTTCATCAGTCAAGGAAACATGCAACACAAAACTAATTCTTCCCACAACAGCTTACTTCCAAGTGGAACAAACCAGTTTTGTTGGTGCTAAGATGGTGTCTTTGGCACACCCCCTCCTCCGGTGCTGGCCCTCTTCCTCGTCGACAGTCGTGCCAAACTGGTTCAAAAACAACAAAGTTCATGCTCAGTAATCCAGGTACACAATCCAACAATGATGACCTGGCTGAAAATTGTTGGATTATATACCTGGATTATTGAGCATAAACTCTGATGTCTTGAACCACTTTGGCTATGGCTGTCTCGGAGGAGTCAACAGGGGAGAGGACGGGCCCCAGAAACCATATTTTCACCAGCAAACTGGTTGGTCCACTATGAGAGTGTGCTGCTTGTGAGACTCACTTTGTTTATGGCTCCTCGGACTGATGAAGTCCTTTGAATGAAGGACAAAACGTCTCAACAAAAATCTAAACCGTCCAGATGACCTGACTGAACTTTGTTAGACAAGATGAAATGTTTGGACAGTTTTAAGCTGCATCTTTAGCTGTATAATTTTAAAAGAAGTCTGAGTTCTAAGAGATATCACTAAATGATTTGTGGGCAACCATAACGACACCTTTTAGACATATATGGTCAGCTTTAGAAATGTGCTCTAACTTTAGTGTTTTTATGTCACCAAATTCTTCTGACAGAAATAGAAAAATCTTGCATAATAGGCGATAAAAACCCTAACTTCCTCTAATATCTGCAACAAAAGTGTATGGAAGCAGCATTCAGTCCCAGCTCAAAGCACTGCTGCAGTGACAGGTGTTTACTGGTTTTGGCTCTGATAGACAGGATTACAAGCAAAACACCTGGTTGGACCCGTTCATTCTCACAAATTGTGCAAAACCGGGGGCTGCAAAAATGAAGGACTAGTTGCGTACTGCCACTGAAGCTGTTATTCCTCGCCGTTCTTGGTGGACGTTTATATAGAGCTGGTGGAGGGCACGATGTTTTGCTCTCCGACCTGCCACCGGCATCAGTGTGTTTACACAAACCAATCCCATACATGTGCATCCCTTTAAGCCCAGGCCCTGGGAATGTTTGTGAAAAGAGTATTGAGGTCCACTGTGGTGGAAAGGCCATTGTCTGGGCTGCTGATCCTCCCTGCACCGGACAGAAAGAGGGGGATCAGTGGTCCCAGAGAAGGTGAGGGGCATTGGGTAAGGATGGGGACTGTGAGCCATAGTGGTATGCTCATCATTGTCCCAAAGGGAGCAAGTGAGCTCACTGTGAGCCTGATAATAGATTGTCAGTAGTTTAATTATGTCTGCTTCTGTTTCAAACTCTGTGATGCAGATTTTATTTAAAAATGTTTGCTTCTGGCCACGGTCATGTTTGGCTTTGCTCAAGAAACAAAACTTTCTGCTTGTGTTGCGTTGGCAAGCATTGAGAGCATCCAGGCTCTTTCCCAGCATTCCTTTCCCCTATAAAAAAGATAACAAGCGAGTGGGCACTGGGACTCTCTTGGGAAATGAAAGGTTTGAGGAGCACAAACAGGATGAGAACTGGCGTTGGGACAATGTTTTGACGAAGATGAGCAGAGACAGCAGGAGCTGGCAGCGGCTAAGCTAAAACTAAAGGGCATTTAACGATGGGAGTTCATGGGTTCTTGTTGAGGTTTCTGGAGAAAAAAATGCTGGCATGTGAGAAGAGTAAATACAAGGGTCACAAGGAGTGTTTGTTGTTGTTTTTAGATGTTTTGTGCTATGTCGGTATTGGTGGACGGAGGTGGCGTTCACTTCCTCACAACCGATCCTCTATTTCCTGTTTTGTGGCAGGAGGGTGGAAATAGTTCAAGATAAGGGAAATTCCAAGTTCTTTGGATTGGACAAGTGTAGGAGTGGAAACGGGTCATGTCCAACTGTAAATACTCAGCTTTTTAGGATGTTGCCAACACGATGAAAGTGATTTTTTTTTTTTTTTATGCTTAAACACAGCTCACTGTCCTTTCATCTGATTTTCTTTGGAAAAAAAACAAGCAAAACTTCCATGATAAGCATTTGCATCAGATGTTTGATGAGATACAGCCTTAAATTTAAAACAATTACAACACTGTTCTCCTTGGCATAATAATGACTGTTTCATTGTTTATTAATTTCATTTTGATTTAATTCTTTCTCTTCCTTGTGCACAGGTGGGGAGAAGACAGAGACTTTAACGGAACACCACAAAAATACTGGGTAGGTTTTTTTTTTTATTGCAATTTGTCTGTTTTTTTACTTTTGAGCTAAAAAAAAAGATGGTTCTATTTTTTTAAGATTCACGGTGTGTAGCTTTTATATTAAAATTTACAAGCACAGATCTATATTCAGACTTTTCAAGGCGGGATTCTGTGCAAAGATTAAAAACTCTGTCTCAATTTTTGCAAATTAAACCTTTTTCATGCAGGTGTTTTGAGAGTGACTGATGAAATATTCTTTCCAGATTGCTGCCAACTCCTGGGGGAAGAACTGGGGAGAGAACGGCTACTTCCGCATCGCTCGCGGGGAGAACGAGTGCGAGATTGAAGCGTTTGTGATTGGTGTGTGGGGTCGAATCACCATGGAGGATATGCACAGTCATCACCACCACCACCGCCGCAGACACGTTTAAAGACGCTGCAGATGTTCAAACCCCCACAGTGACTTTAGCTTTTGTTTAACACAAAGAAGGACCACACATCCCTTTACCATAAAGCTGACAGGGATGACCACTCTCATTTTTCACCTTACTTTTCTTTGGGAATCTATGCAGATCTTGTTTCCTTGCTCTTTTTCTTTTTTAAATAGAGCATTCGTTTTCCCGTTAACTCCAGCTTTGTCGCACCAACAAACCAATGAAAAACTAAGCGAAAGCGCCTTTTGTTTTGCGTTGCGTTCAGGCACCTCAGGTACCTTCTGCTCCAAAGACCACACATCCCAGAATCCTCAGAATGATATTCGATGGAACAAGCTCACAGCAACGATAACAGGAGAAGCTCAATCAGAATTCTTTATTCTTTAGTCTTTTCCTGCTTTAAAACTCTTATCCAGAGGGACCCGCTACCGTAGGAGAGGCCCTGAAACGTGGAAATTTGAGAGGCAGATTATCAGACATCAGAGCCTTTCAACGTGACACGCCCTGCTGAACGGTGAAACCTGATAACATATAGATGACCTTATTGATATCTATCTATCAGCAACACAAAGGCACCTTTTTTTTTTTCTTCTTCCTATCTCCAAACTATAAGAACATTCCAGTTAAAACAGTGACTCTGGAAACCCAAGAGAGCCTGGTGTAGAGTGTCCGATCAGAGAACGTATCAGAATAATCTTGAAATCATTTGACATTTTTAATGTTCTACTTTTTAATATGAATTTAAATTTACATATATGCAATTCTTTTTGGCTGCAGATGAAATAAACTAAAGAGATTTCCACAAGCAAGGGCAAAGCTCCTCCTGCAATTTCTGACCCCAACATTTGGCCCTGCAAAGTTGTTTGACTGGTTGAAAAGATTAAGTCTTATAGTGACAGCTCAGAGGTTTTGAAGTGATGTTCTGTAGAAAGTTATTAACAATATTAATATTGTATTTGCTGAAGACAGCACTTGGCATTACCTCGGTTAGAACAGGGCTATTCAACTACTGTATTTTTCGCCGTACACGTCGCACCGCCCTATAAGTCGCATCAGTCCAAATATGTCTTATAAAGAGGAAAAAACATAAATATTTTGCTTCTATTACACGTCACCGCTGACGACCTGGAAATGTGGGCCGGTGTTGTGCCAAAAATCGATTGGCTGCCAAATGGCAGCCACTGGAGCATGCATGGGAGGACCTTAACAAGAATTTAACAAGATTAACACTTTAAAACAATTATTTGTTTGCTAGAAATTATAGCAACTGTGTGTCTCAGTTGAACTTTTACTTAATAAATGCACTTCAATGGTCAAATTAGCTGCATTTCGCTGGGGCGGCGCATCAAAATGAAGCTGATTTGACGGTTGCTCCAGGCATGATGCCGGTGCTGGATGAAGGTGGGAGGCTTTGGCAAGCCAATTGTGTCAAGAGCCACATTTACCTATTACATGACACAATGGCATGCCATATACTTGAGTGCCATCTAGCAGCTGAAAATGGTAGTGTTCAATATTTTCGATGTCAGAATGAATGAAAACGGTCATTTCTCAGCCAAAAATTGGTTTATAAATATGGGAATAAAAAACATACATAAGTCACTTTGATGTATAAGTTGCAGGGCATGTAAATTATGCAAAAACTGTAATTTATAGGCCGGAAAATACGGTAAATTGATCAGGGGACCACAGTTACTGAAAGCCAAGAGCTCAGGGGTCAGATATCCAGCAGTTATTGTCATTAAGTAAGTTTTATGGTTTAAAATCTAGTTTTATTTAAAAAAGAACCCATTGGTGGGTCGAACGCTCACCCTTGCGCCTGGTTTGGCTCACGAGCCGCTAGTTGAATCGCCCTGGTTTACAGAAATTAAAGCTTTGTTCTGACTAGATTTACACGCTCACGACTTGTCTGAGCGTGGACAAGCCCAAAGTGGATTGTTACCTTTTAAACAACTCCAGTCACAAAATTGTTAAAGCGTTTCACGTGAACCTGTTTTCAAAAACTCTTCACAGAACTTCATTTCTGCAAATTTACAGTGTTTGATAAGTTAGCTAAAACAAGTAAGATATTGATTGTTCATTAACTCAACAGATCTCAGCTTCGTTTTTAAGAACCAGAGCTGACAGCTGCATGATTAAATGAGTGCTTATGTCTTAATTTCCTCTGTGTGCACTGTTACAATTTGAGCTGAATATGCATTTTGCTGTTGTTGCAGTTATATTTTAAAATGACGCTTTGCAACTTGTTTTTAGATGTGCTATAGTTGGAGACCTCCATGTCTCACTCATCATCCTGTTTGTGCTTTGCTGCAGAGCATCAGAAATGATCAGACACAGCTGCTACAGCCCACTCCGCTACAAAACGTTTCTTTAAGCGTTTGCTTTATTTTTAAAAAAAGAAAAAAAAGTAATGTCACTTTTAAACAACAGTTTGAAGTCAAACATTTGATTTTTAACATGTGCCTCAAGCTTCAGGCAGAACTTTGTAACAGTAAAGTGACTTTTTCATTTTTTATTATTTACTTAATCTGACATGAAAAGGAAAACCCAGTGGGTAATTACTTTATGTTTTAGATTACATCCTGGCCTGCCTCAGCCATGACTTCAAAAGGAAATTTCCTTTTCTCTCTCATCATGTCTCATGATCTTCCAAGATCTTTCCTTCAGGCATGAATGGGCAGAAGGTTACAAAGCAAAGAGAAATACCTGAATGAACAAGCAGCGAGCACCGCGGTGCAGCAGCTGAGGATTACTGAAGCACGCACTGCAGCTGAATCTATCGTTTCATTTTGAAGTCCAAAAAAGATCAAAAGCAGACGCAGTTTAAAGAAACTTCACAAACACGAGACAGTGTGAGGTGGAAGAGACATATAGATCGTCTTTCTGTGTTCATAATTTCATCTGTGAACAAACTACTTGTAGTTTTCTTTACCCCAGAGAACCAAAATACACATTTTAACGTGACTGTTGAGTGCTCAGTGTGAGCAGGTTCCAGTGTGAAACGATGGGGAAAGATGGGTTCATTTTCTTTCTGTTGATCGGAAAACTCCCAACACTCAAAGCACATGTTCCTTAAATAAGTCAAGCCAGTGAACATTAATTAAAAATTCATTTCCCTCAGGGATTGTAAAAATTTATAAAATACCGTATTTTTCGGACTATAAGACACAATTAAAATCCTTAAATTTTCTCAAAAAATTGACAGTGCGCCTTGTGCTTACTGACCTCGAACCGTTTTTATGTGGTTATTGTGAATGAGTTGAATAAAGTTTGACTGTTTTGTTTCGCTTAATGCGCCTTATAGTCAGAAAAACACGGTATCCATTCATTCATTTATTCATTAAGGTGTTATTGCGAACTTTGACTTGGAGAACACTGAATATAATTTTTTTTTTTTTTTTTTAAGTTTTATAGTTCTTGCCAAGAAATAGTAATCAATTATCTGCTATGTTATGAATGGTAATGCTTAGATGAACAATCAAATGGGTATAACTGATTATTTTTTATGATTTTCTTTAATTTTAGGGTCAAAACATTTTTAGTTCAAATCTTCACCACAAACCTCCTATAAGCTTCAACAAACTTTCACCTACAAGTTGTATATTTAGTGTCATGAACCACTTCATGTGTTATAGGCTTTATTTATAAAAAGATGTGTAAATTATGTACTTTTGTTCGTCTTTGTTGTCCAGTGCAATGTTTCATCAACTGTCTCTTGTATGTGCACTCAATGCAATACCAGATTAGTGTTCACTTACTCAATAAAGTCGTTTTCCAAAACCTCACTCCAAGTCTGTCGCGCATGAACTGCTAGCTGGGAGAATTTAGAAGTGATTCAACAGAAAATAGCCTGATACGTTGTGGGTCGCGGTGAGAGGAAGCAGGTCCAGAGGGATCAGCGGGTGGAATAAGGACAGTTGTTATAAGGTCCTGCTGTGTCAGCATCCTCGATCATTGCAATAAAACAAAACTCAATCAGTGAATGGTAATAGCAGAGCAAAAAGAAAGCGGAATAAATTACTACTTGAAGCCACGAACGAGACAAAGGCGTGTGTTTGCTTATGCTGCTAGCAAAACGTCATGAATGACCAAATTAATTTTATGAAGCTAAAGCAATCGTTGGATGCACGTATACAACTAACTTTTGGTGTACAGTAAACCCAATTCAAGATGGCCGCCACAGCAAACCTTAGCAAACATGAGCGATGTGCTTCAAGGAATGTTAGACCTTTAAACGCGTCCCTTTTTGATGTTTACAGCTTCTGGAAATGTAGAAAATTTTCATTCAAAGCATAAAAACGACCTCTGAAGAGTCTATAAACGTGTGAGGGCTTGCTCCCTTCGTTTTAAAGTCTACTGTAGTGAATTTATATATAAATAGACAAATGAAAATGCCAATATTGAGTTATCATTTTATCATTTTGACAACTGCTGCTTTAATAGCAAAGAACGAGTCCTGAATTATTTTGCTATTACAACATGTGAATGTTCTTCATGGAACAGCGCAGGCCATAAAGAATCCAGATAAAAGACAAACGACATAACAGAGCTTATCTCTTTAGCTGAGCACGAAAACTTGGGGCATGTTTGCCAACTGTTTACATTTCTGTCGTTGTTTCTGCGTCACCAAGTAGCCAAAGCATTCATTACTTTAGCTCTCCTTTCCTCATGGAAAGAACTGGATGAGAACCAAGAAAAAGGAGGAAACCGTACCAACACTTGGTGACCCTCCACCCTGTTGCTCCCTCTGATTCAGGAATATGATCATCTTCTCACCTTCTGCTTGGTAGTTTGTTGTCATTCGTAGTTTAGTTTACATCCAAACTAAAAGTTCTTGAGGCTAATTATAGCTTGACCTTTTCTTTGAATTGTGTAGTTTTGTTTGTGTTGTATTTGTTGCTGCCTCTTTAGGACTCCCTTGAATAAGAGGTTTTTAATCTCAGTGGGTTTTTTTTTTAATCCTAGTAAAATAAAAAATAAAAGCTGATGATAAAAAAACCTGAACATCCTGCAGGTTTGAGGCAACACTTTTTTCTATACTAACACAATAAGGAGATTATATTTTACTATTATTATTTGGTAAATCCTTGTAACTCAGAGCAAATTCAAAAAAGTATAATATCTTTACCTTTTACACATAAAGTCCCACAATATGTTTCGTAGCTTTGCAGAGAATATGACACTCTGAAACTCTGTTACTGCAAATAAATGATGCACAATCTGTTTATTTTAAGATTTTATTTTTTAATTCAATGCCTTAATGAAATTTCCACTTGATCAAACCATTTTTGTCCTATCTATCACTGGCTGGTTGAGTGCTGCCATCTGCTGGTGAGTAGCAGCAACAATAAATTAAAAAATATATAAAATCAAGCACTGAGGATGACCTCTCAAAGTGCTCATTTAAAAATCTTAATGAACCTAAAAAAATGGGAGGGGCTAATTTCAGTGTTGCATTTGTAATAATTAGACACAAGATTAGATTCAGAACTTCATGATGAATATTCCTGGGAGAAAATAAATATGTTCCATAGACCAAGTTAAGACCATCATCGATCTAAAGTATCAGCTCTCCATCAGATCAGCCATGACGGCCTTGCCGCCTTCTGCTTGGTGATTTAAATCAAAAGTGTCCCATGTTTTTTGTAAAAAAAAAAAAAATCAGCTTTTAGCGTGGTCCAGTTCCTCTCCGGCACTCACACATTCTGTAGGCACATATGTAGAAAATACCTGCGACAAGAAAGAGAAACGAGTCCTATTAAAATCATGTGAGAAAAATAAAACATGAACAATCTGCTGTGGAAGATGCGTTGCAGGATGACTATAGTGCATGCACATGTTTGTACATTTGTTCTTACTTTAATTCTAAAATGTGAATCAACTGAAAACATTCAGCATTGCCAAGAGGTCCTCTGAATGTTTTGATCTTGTAGCTGCATAATATTATGGCTTGGATACAGATGTGCCTCCAGATGTTTTTTTGATTCTCACCTGCAAAAAATGTCATGAGCATGGCCACCCAGCCCAGTATGTAGGACCAGGAGAAACGCCAGTCGCCGAAACGCTTCCCCAGGAAGTTGACGGTCACTCCGGTGTAGACGGCCATACCCAGCAGAACAAAGAAAGCTGCGAGGAAGGAAGTTCATATCTGTGATGCTGAATGGTGAATTCAAAAGTGCCTTTCTCACTCTGCACACTGAAAACATTTCACTTTTAGCATTTTATAAAAACAATAGGTTAGAGACAAGTTTAAGTGAGGTTCAGTGGAAAGACTACGCCTGTCATAGATAGTTCTTTGAACAACCTCTTTTTGTCAATTTCCCTTTTACATTAATATGTATATAACTATTATATGGCAGCAACAGCAGCAGCTAGCTGTAGCACTTTTGGTGCAGCCTGTGGCACTCAGGCAGCAAGATTTATTTAATATTTTTGCTGGATTATTCATGTAATAACAAACTGAATATGGTGTATAGTTCACGTGAACCACATTGAATATTTTGAGACTGCAGATGTTTTAAGATGTTTTGGTCTTAGCCTTGCAGGAAAAAAAACTGTTAGCTCATCAATCTAGTCAGACTTATCCAAACAGAGACTCAAAGAGCCATCTACAAACGGTAAGATAATAATTGTTCATAACGTCCTGATGCATGCTCAATAATCCAGGTAAATCTAACAAAGTTAAGTCAGGTCCCTTGAATGGATTCTTCTTTGTTGAAACGTTTCGTCTTTTATCCAAAATACTTCTTCAGTTTGAGGAGCTGCAACAAACTCAGTCTTATAAATAGCACCTTCTCATAGTGGCTCAACCAGTTTGCTGCTGACAGCCAGAACTAACTGTTCACTGAGGACCACCAGCCTAACAATTGATTGTTAGTGCCCTGATGGTCGCTTGCTATTCACAGAGGGCTGAGTGATGCAATAACAGCATTGTAAGAGGGGGACAGTTGACCCATCCATCCAGCCATCCATCCAGCCATCCATCCATCCAGCCAGCCAGCAATCCATCCATCCATCCATTTTAACTCATCCATCGTTTGTTCATTTGTTATAAGACTGAGTCTGTTGCAGCTCCTCAGACTGAAGAAGTATTTTGGATAAAAGATAAAATGTTTCAACAAGAAGAATCAGCCCAGAGGACCTAACTTAGTCTTGTTAAATTGTTCATAACGTTGCCAAAAAAACTTTAACCAATCTGGACTATTAATTTAATCTAAATATTTTGCATCTTCACTTGCATGAACATTATAAACACATAACATTATTCCTTACTTTTTAAAAAAAAAAGAAACATCAATATGTTTCTACAAGCACAAGAATCTAAGAGTTTTAACAAGTTTTACTTTTATCCATGGCTACAGGAGACATTTTGTCCTTATCAGGCTGAGTGAAAGAAACTCACTGGAGATGAAAAACATGATCCCTGCAGCAAAGGAGCGGTTGAACCTTTCAAAGGAAGAGAAGTGTGAAAAGGACATGATGCCAGCGATGACACCTGCGAAGCACGACATCCCTGATAGGATCATAAAGGCCCTGGTGGCGTTCCAGTAAGCTGAAGGAAAACAAGTAGAATTCAACTAATTAAATCTTTAAAATATCACAAGGGAAAAAAAAGTGTCTAAAAAGATAAAGTAGTGATTTTAATTTCCCCCTTTTCTACTTTAATCATCAGATTGGGTGTTCCTACTGTGCTAACAGAAACCTCAAGGCTTAATAGTTGCACAAGAAAATTCACATTTAGATTTTTCATCTTAAAATTTCAATCTCCATTTCCATTGCTCACAGACTCACTGTCATTCACTGTCAGCTAAACAATGCTAAAACAAGAAACACACTCAATCCAAAGAGCTCTAAAGACATCCTGATGTTCCCACCTATGCTGTCCGTCTGCATGTAGCACTTGTTGGACATGCAGTACCTCCACAGGCCCTGGTGGGCATAGTTTCCAGAGAGGCGATACTGCATCCAGTAGTCCGTGGCAGTGGAGACCACCAGCAGAATATTTCCCACGATGGCACAAAACAAGCCCCCTCCCATGAAGCTGTACATCTTGAGTTGAGATAACGGGGCTGAAGCTGAGCAACTGTCGAATAAGTGGAGAGGTTAGAGATGATTTTCACTGACTCAACAGGAGAACCTAAAAAAATCCAATATTCAACTGATTTTTGCAAAACAGATTAAAAAAACTTTACTTAAATTGATTATTTTTTTTTTAGATCCATTTTAGATTGAGGGAAATGTTTAAAATTCACTTAGAGCCAGTCAATCAAAATCTCATACAAAACACAAACCAGAGAAGTTTGAAACAAACATTCAAACTAGAAATGTTCCGATCGATTGGCCACCTATATTGATAAGCCAGTTTCCATTAAAAAGTTTGATTGGCCGATACCAATCAATATCTTTCAATGCCGATCACAAAAACGATCACCTTTGCAGCCTATGGGGTGTCGTTTGTAAAGTTACACAGTCAAACATTAACAGCAATATTTTCATTTAATTTAGCCTTATAAAACAAAAAAAGTTTTTGTCAAAGTCATATTTTCACCGTTATTCATACATTTACAAATTAATTTATAAAACATAGTCCCAAATTAAATATTTAATTTACAAGCTAAATATTTAGTTTACAAATGAAATAGTTAACTTGCAAGTTAAATATTTAGTAAGCAAACTAAATATTTAGGTATAAATTAAATATTTAATTTCCAAACTAAATATTTATTGTCCAAGCTAAATGATTAATTTCCAAACCAAACATTTGATTTCTAAGCTAAACATTTAATTCCTGAACTAAATATTTTATTTGCTAACAAAAAATAAATCTCAGGCCTAAACATTTAACTTGCTAGCAAAATATTTAGCTAGCAAGTTAAATATTTATCTCTGAGCTCAATATTTAGTTATGTATTTATTTTGGAAATGAAATGTTTAACTTGGAACATAAATATTTAGGTTTGAGCTAAATATTTAGTTAGCAAATTAAATATTTAGTTTAGGAATTAAATATTTAGCTTAGAAATTTAATATTTAGCTTGAAAATAAAATATTAAGTTTATAACTATAACATTTATAAGTGTATGAATGACATGGTGAAAATATGACTTTGAAAAAAAACAACTTTTTTTTCTTATGAAAGGCTAAATAAACCCAAATATTGCTGTTAATTCTTGACAGTGTAACTTGCAGCCTGCAGAGGTCCTGTGGTGTG